TTTCCGGAAAATTCATAACGGTAATTCTGGAATAATAAGGAAACGCGAATGCCTTTGTGGTACTCAACATAAAAAAAAACATTTATTCACACATGCTCAAAGGTTTCTGCAAATATCTGTTACTGATTTCTTTGGAAAAATGAGTTTTTTTTGTGAAGAATTGTCCAGCGGTTCTGGAACAATTAAAAGGACTGTTGGACTCTTTCTTTTGCTAGAAACTTGGTATCCTTTCTAAATAGCGTCGACAAGAGTACATCTACAAACAATTAGAATAAGTCCGTTGTTTTTTGACAGTCTTATTATGATGCTCACCACTGAAATGCGGATGAAACACACTTTGACGAAAAAGGAACCTTTTTGAACCACTGGAGACCGAAATAACTCATTACAATGTTTTTCCCCAAATTCTAGATATCATGGTCTTAGAGCTGTATCGTCAGTCGTTCTTTCTGGCCTCCTTGATTATCATAGTCTTTTTTCTCCTTCAGAAATGCCGGGATATTTCTAGATTTCTACTGTTCCATGTCAGCGCTCCCATATTGTGAGGTTATGTTTTCGTTTTGAACTGAAATTTATTACGAATTAACTGTGGAAAAGCATGAAGCATTTGATGCAAATAGATATTTGTAACATAACCTCAAAATAGAACGCTGACACGGAACAGCAGACATCTAGAGATACCTCTGCCTTTCTGAAGGACGTGAGAAACTATGAAAATCAAGAAGGCCATAATGGCGTTCTACAACGAACTGACGATACGGCCCTTAGTCGCGTGTCGGTCGGTGGACGTTTAGACGCAGATAAGCGATCACATAATAAGATTCAGAACTTTTGTCGGACCATATGAATCTTCAAGTTATCGCATGCCATTAAAAGAAAATAATATTTAGTTACCCGCCAAGTATATATAAAAAATAGGCATAGGCTATAAAAATTAGGCATGGGAAGACGCCGTGAGACATCTAAAACTGTCATTATGGTTAATTTGGAATTTTTTAAGCACAGCTGTCGACTGAAATAAATATACAGCCCGGTTACTAGGCGGAACGGAACCGGGCTTGGCAGATTTGTATATTTTATGACTGAAAAAAAAAACTTTTTATCGTTATCCGTTTCAGAAGGTTCACGAAAAGGTGGATTCGCTGTATCGCAGATAGCAGGTTTGTTGCGTATCGTATAAACACACACTGGATGTTTTGAAGTTTGTGTTGACTTTACGTGATTATATAAGTGAAATCGGCTCTGGGTCGGCACGTTCAACACTGGGTTGTTATAAAAACGTCAAAGAATCTATCTAAACACAAATTTTCTCTTCATAATTTGTCGAGTCGCTCGAGATTTTCATAGCGAGACATTGAAATCCCAAATACCCTTGTCCTAAACATTAAAATTGCCAAAACTGGAGAGGAGAGGAAGTATTCTAAACGCAAAAGGATTAAGAAAGCAGAAAAAATATTAATATATATATATATATATATATTATATATATATATATATATAAACAACAATTAGCAACATCCTCACATACTACTGTAAGTTGATTCAATTTAAATTCATTTTACACTTTTGTTGATACTGTTATCATTGTAATTGCAGCTCCTGATGATGATGGCAAAGTCCATTGAAAGCTAGAGAGAATTAAAAAAGTATAAAGAGTCCTCTTTGCTTAAATTTGTCGAAGTACCCAACAAAAGGCGGAAGCTTTAATTTTTCACTTATATGTATATATATATAGGCGAAAAATAAAGCTTCCGCCTTTTGTTGTGTACTTCGACAAGATTCAAGCAAAGAGGACTCTTTATAGTTACTTTATTAATCTCTAGCTTTCAATGGACTTTGTCATCTTCAACAGGAGCTGCAACATTGAGAAGAAATAGCAACTATTGTGCAAAATGATTTTGAAATAACTTACAGAAGTATGTGAGGTTGTTGCTAAATGTTATTAACGTTTTGGTTGAGGGATACACCCAGTAACCTGGCGAATGCTGGATACATGGAACATTTGTCAAAATTAATATAAACTACACACAGCTGTATGTCAGAAACAAATTAAAATGGATTAAAAATATTTAAAAACATGATGTAATTTTAACTTTCGTTGTACCATGTATCCAGCATTCACCAGGTTACTTTTTGTATAGCTCAACCAAAACGTTAATAACAAAAAGTTAATAACATTTAGCAACAACCTCACATACTACTATAAGTTAATTCAAAATCATTTTGCACAATAGTTGCTATTTCTTCTCAATGTTATTGCAGCTCCTGACGAAGACGGCAAAGTCCATTGAAAGCTAGAGATTAATAAAGTATAAAGAATCCTCTTTGCTTGAATCTTGTCGATGTACCCAACAAAAGGCGGAAGCTTTATTTTTCACCTAACTGGTCTTAACGACAATGACCATGTCTCAAGTTATATATATATATTATTATATATATATATATATATATATATATATATATATATATATATATATAACGTAAGACCTTATTACAGTCAGAAAAAAAGCTAAACCCATCACTAACATTTTAAATGTGTTTCCGCTAATGTTGAAATGCAACGTTCGGTATTTTCCTCGGTAAAAACCCCCGACTAAGCACGAAACATAACGAAATGTTGACGGTATTTCCCTGCAGGCTCAGCATTTTTCTTCAAATGAAGCCATAAAAATATTGCGAGAATCATTTTAATGAACCGTACCCATAAAAATCCGACTGGCCTGTGCTGGTAATGGCCTTTGAAAAAAAAATAACGACCAGTTTTATCTGACCGGATAGAAGAGGGGGAGGAGGTTCCAACGGCGAAGCGGTCCTATCATTATCATTAAACGGAACTGCCGAAATGGCAATAAAAATGGTCGTATTTTTCGCCGAAAAACGACAGGCAACCCTTAATTCCCGAATAATCTGTGTCGCCATATCTAGAAGGCTCTTACGCCACGTAACTGCTAAAATGATATACGAGATTTCAATGTTGCGGCAAAAAATCTCAAGAAAACCGGGAAATTGTGGAAATAAACCATCCAAATGTTGTGAAATATCATGCTTCATTTTGAACATATGATTAGATAAGGTAACCATTTATGAACAATACTCGTATGCTTGAAATAGATATATATATATATATATATATATATATATATATATATATATATAGGTGAAAAATTAAAGCTTTCGCCTTTTGTTGGGTACTTCGACAAAATTTAAGCAAAGAGGACTCTTTATACTTTTTTAATTCTCTCTAGCTTTCAATGGACTTTGCCATCATCATCAGGAGCTGCAATTACAATGATAACAGTAGCAACAAAAGTGTAAAATGAATTTAAATTGACTCAACTTACAGTAGTATGTGAGGATGTTGCTAATTGTTGTTTACGTATAGGATGAGGGAAACGTCCAGTAACATGGTGAGAGCTGGATAGATGGTACACTGGTCAAAATTATATAAAATATGACAAGAATAAGTTAAAAACAGATTATATATATATATAATTTTTAATCTGTTTTAACTTGTTCTTGTCATATTTTATATAATTTTGACCAGTGTACCATCTATCCAGCTCTCACCATGTTACTGGACGTTTCCCTCATCCTATACGTAAACAACAATTAGCAACATCCTCACATACTACTGTAAGTTGAGTCAATTTAAATTCATTTTACACTTTTGTTGCTACTGTTATCATTGTAATTGCAGCTCCTGATGATGATGGCAAAGTCCATTGAAAGCTAGAGAGAATTAAAAAAGTATAAAGAGTCCTCTTTGCTTAAATTTTGTCGAAGTACCCAACACAAGGCGGAAGCTTTAATTTTTCACCTAACTGGTCTAGACGACAATGACCACGTCTCAAGTTATATATATATATAGAGAGAGAGAAAATGATCATGCGGAGAAAGGTATATAACAAAAAGTAGGAAAATAATGGGTAAAATCCGCAAAAGGAGCGCCTGATGAAGCCAACCAGCAATAAATACGTATCGCTCGGGTTATCTATCCTATTTTCTGCTCGAATCCACTTTCCTCCTTTTTGCGGATTTTGCCCATTGTCTTCCTACTTTTTTACATATATACATAAACTGAGGAATGGACGAAAAGTTTGCTATTCTGTCTGAAAAAATGGACAGTTTTTCGGGCAAAATATAGCTTAGCTTTAGAAGTACTGATCGAAATCCTACTATGTATATCAAACTTCTTTATACCAAGTGGGCTTTCAGAATATATTAGAATATTCATTTAAAAAAAAATTATATTTATTTTGCCACCTAGTTATAACACTGTGTAGGGATCGGGAGATTTTCCATGTAAAAATCGTATATTTGCCTATAATTTTTGTGGGTAACTTGTTTAGCTATCTTTCATACTAACAATGCAACTCGCACTAAAACACCAAGTATTATATTTTTTTTTAGAATTTGAAATTAACACTTTAACAGTATATCCGGTTAGGGACATTTAGGATCGATGTCTACAGAAACTTTCTTTATTATTTTTAACTAATTTTCCAAGTATCACCCCTGTGTTGATCACCGTCTTTTTTACAGTAAAGCAGGTATTCCACTTGCAGTTTTACACGAAAGAGGATCAACCCCTTCAGAAACACCCCTGCATGCACACGCCAGCTGGGGTTATTTTTTATTTTCTTTGTATGTTGGCTGCCGTGACCTGCCGCCAACAGCGGTTTATTTGTATTTCTGGAATATTGTATATTTGCCCATAGTTTCCCTCTTTCTTCTGTCACTTACCACCATGTGTCGAACACAAACCATCAACGTTACAAGTATTTTCATACGAGTTGCAAAATTGAAACATTTCAAGCAAAAATTAACGCAGAATGATATCGAAAGCATAGTGACTTGTAAAGGAAGCCTCAATTAACAGTTTAACCATCTTTATGTATGAATATTCGAGGGTAAGCATAAAAAAAATGCGCCAGCAGGAGTTTTTCTCAGGGGTAAGAGAAGTTTTTGTGAATCTGTACCTGCCTCTAAAACTCGAAATCCTAAAAAAACTCTTGAAACTGTACACAAAACAATGTTAAATAAGCGAAGTTTAAGGTCCAATCGGCCTCCCCTGCGTCCGCTCATGCATGAATTTCGTCAGCGTTCGAAATCCTGGGAGACGTAAAAGTTTACCGTACCTACGCTACTGTTATTGCCTTCTCTATTTTCTCGTTTATTCGCGGAACACAAACAAACTGTTATGGACAGAATAAGAATTCGCCTTTAGCGTATATTTGAGTATACGGTTTCAGATTTTCCACACCAGAACAGTTGCTCGTTCTCCCGAAAAAGGGCGTAAGTACAAAAGATGATGGGGATATACCCTAGTAAGCCATTTTCATTTATATGTATGCGGTGCGTATATTTTAGGAAACGCCCACACCTCGGCTACGTATAATTATCAAGTTTCAAACGTCCAAACATCCAATACAGGGTGGCCCATAAGTCCCTTGAAATTTCAAATTTGAATAAAATTTAACGGGTGAGCGTGAGCGGCGCGGGCGAGGTGGGGGCAGTATCTTCAGTGTCTGGGAATTCAGTCGCCATGGAGTGTTTCATTGGAGCGGATCGTGCTTTTTGTGTGCGCGCGTTTTATCAAAATAATGATTCGGCATCAATTGCGCGGCGTAAATATCGAGAATACCACAATTTACACAATTTTACAAAGTGTCCAACAGCTCAAACGATTAAGAACTGGGTTGCTAAGTTCGAAGAGACTGGTTCGACGTTAGATAAACAGCGGTGGGGTCGACCAAGGACAACTCGTATTGAAGAAAACATCAACATTGTGGCACAGTCTGTTCGTCAAAATCCTACCCAGTCTACTCATAAGCGTTCCAGTGCACTAAACGTACCCAGAATATCTTTACAGCGGATTTTAAGGAAAGATTTACGTTTGCACGCTTACAAAATTCAGTTAGTGCAGGAATTAAAAGATAATGACGCTATTCAGAGACTAAACTTTGCGAATGAAATGTTGAATCGATTTTCTTCGCTCAATAATGTGTTGTTCTCGGACGAGGCATGTAAATAAACAAAATTGCCGTTATTGGAGCCCCGAAAATCCAAGGCGTAAGCATCAGAAGCCCTTACACAGCCCTAAAGTTACAGTTTGGGCTGCTATGTCAGCGCATGGCATCGTAGGAACTTATTTTTTGAGGACGACAGAGGTCGCGCATTAACTGTTACTTCGGAGCGGTATCTAGCAATGATAGAAGAGTTTTTGACACCAGCGTTGCAGAATTTTCCAGGCTATAATACGCAGACCTGGTTTCAACAGGACGGAGCAACTGCCCACACCTCCAACACTTCTATGCCCGTCGTCTGTCAACTTTTTCCCAGCAAAGTAATTTCTCGAAGAGGAGACATTTCCTGGCCACCACGTAGTCCAGATTTGACCCCAATGGACTTCTTTTTATGGGGCTACCTCAAGAGTAAAGTGTACGACACCACTCCGCGATCAGTTGATGTTCTGAAAGAAAATATCCGAAGAGAATGGCAAGCATTACAGTGTTGACTTGCCGCGCAGTCATCGACAATTTTAGACGTCGTTTATATGAGTGCCGTGATCGTAATGGATTGCATTTAGACGATGTGATTTTTAAAACATAATTCCCATTCAATAAAGATGATAACAAAATATAATAATTCTTCATGATGTAACTAGTTTGGTTTTATTCCTTTTTTTCCAGCTCAAAGGACTTATGGGCCACCCTGTATAATTCTTCGACGTTCGACAAAAGCCAATATAATTTATAGATCAGAAACAGCACCGCAAGATCTAGTTTCTGACCTTGACGGTTCATTCGACCTTCAGATAGCAAAAATGTTTCTTAGCGATTAGTTATCGGAGTCTTTCTATATGATTTCAAGTAATCCTGTCATATCCGACATTTGGGAACGAGAAATTAGTAATGATAAAAAACCAATGCATTCCTTACCTTTGCCAGCCTCATCGCGGTGACCCAACAGCTGCGCACCCGTTCCGAATCGCATGCGAGGCACCGTAACTGTTCCGCTTCGCCTCCTCCGCCCCCTTTATCCGTCGTCCTGCCTCCACCCTCTCCCGCACCGTCTAACTCCGCCCCTGAAGCGGCCCCGCCCCCTTCCAGGCGCCGCCTCTCTTGCTCCGCTCCGCCCGCCGTGCTGCCAATCAAAGGCTCCGCCTCCGGCCTCAAGACCACGCCCCACTCGCTGGGCGCGCGCAGTTGGTTCTTCGCGTTCAGAGCCGCGTACGCGTGGTAACGACGTACGTCGCACAGCAGACGGACGTCTTGCAACAGACGTTTGTCTTCTGAGATCTGGAACAAAATTGCAACGATCAAAAACGTCTTCGAATGGACTGTATCGTTCCAATCTTGCAACATATTGCCAATGTTGTAAAGTCCGAGTAGGGATCCGAAACCAGCGCCATCTCTGAGACATTTCAAAATCAATTCGAACAAAATATTGTTTATTCGGTTAATTTTGCGTGACAGTATGTTTTTTTTACAACTTTTACAAACAGAAAATAAAGCTGAATCTGAAAATGATATTTTTTGAAATAAATCTTGCCTTTACGCCGATGCTCAGGTCTTACCGTTGTTTGCTGATGATGTAAGTGTTTGCTCGTATACAATATGTTCATTTTAAAATGCACTGCCGGAAATAAACATTGCAGTATATGTAATATATGTACGTATATATGCATAATAATAAACAGCTCGAGTATGCATTTCTACCTGCTGTGCTGTAACTGTAATTGAAACTAAAGGTACCCGATTTTTACAACATTTCAATCGGTCGGCAAGTGTACAGCATGTCTACGATTCAAGGATTTGTACAGGCATATAAAAAACATGATGCCTACATACACTAATGAACAAGAGTATATAGACAAATTAATATTGTGCTGTATTTGTTTTTTTTACTTGTTTTATTGATACACCAACCTGTATACACTATTTGTTATAGCACAATACTCATTTATACATAAATAAGCAAAACAATTACAGTGGACCTCCGGTAATCCGACAAACATTATGCAGGGCAGTGTCGGACTATCGAATTTGTCGGATTATAGAGCACTGCCTAAGTCCGGAATTTTTTACAAAAGAGTACCTTGTAATCCGACAAATTACATATCCAATGGTAAGATTGTATATGTTATGTATATGTATGTATTTTGAAGTACAAATCATACATAGATGTATGTCGAATTTAGTAAATTAAATAACAATAGAGAGCTTACGTTTTATTATAAAATTAAGCATAAATGCACATACATATGTACCAAAATAATCAAGAATTATTAATCAAAATCATTAATGAATTGATCAAATTATGAAGCTTGGAAATATTCATCAATTTTTTTTTTGTTTAAGGTTGTTATAACGCGAGATCAGAGCTTTGTCCCTTAGTCTTCTCAAAAGTAAAGGTTCGTTGTAGGATGTATACTTTATCTGAAGTCACTTGAAACACTGTGAAATACCGGGTGCGTTTTATATATCTATATTTAACACGCTCTGTTGCTGCAAAAATCGCCAAGTTTCGCAGCAAATATCCCCCGTATAAGATCAAAGGCAGTTTCACCGGTCCACGTGGAGTAAAGCACGCCTATGCGTGGACATAGCCAATGAGAGCTCCGAACAAGTGCAGGTGGCTACTGAAAATTGAAACAGTTTAGCCAGTGCCGTGTAGCGGTGAATAAACGTGTTTTCTTTAGTCTGTCCGTGTTTTTTCATAGATTTTATTAGTTTGTGTGTTTTTGACTTTTGAATACTCAGTTTACTTGTTGATTTAACTGTTGTGTTGATTGTTCTTGTGTGTCCTAAATATGGCTCTTTGGAGACCTTGGGAAAATACTCCAAGCCACGAGGAGATGGTTGATGTGCAGGCAGAATTCTTTCATAAAGATTTAGAGGAACAGACCGGTCTACCATTTATCGGGTTATAAAAAGGGGAGATGTAGTCAACCATTCCTTCCACAGAAAGCGCATAGGGCAAACATTAAAAAGAATAGACGTGGGTTTTCAGGAAGATATTCGTCGTATAATATACGGATTTTATAAAGAAAATTTGGTGCCCACGTTGGAAATGATACGGGATAAATTAAAAGATTATCCTGAAGATTTTTATAATTACAAATGCTTAGACTCACTGCACTGTATTGTAAAATTGTGTGGTTTTCAATACAAAAAATTAGATAAAAGAATGGTGATTATGGAGTCGTCTCGAATCGTTGAATTGCGCCAAGAATTTTTGCACAAAGTTAAAATCTATAGAGAGCAGAAAAGAAATCTGATTTACCAGGATGAAACGTGGTATGATACCCATGATGTTGTGCAGTACGGCTGGGTTGACGACAGCAACAAGTGCATTTTAAATGCACCATGCAACCGTGGAAAACGAATCATTATTCTCCATGCTGGCAGTGAAAATGGATTTATACCTAATGCCTTGCTGTTATCTGCCAAAAATATCAAAGAATCATGTGCCGACTATCATGAGGACATGACCTCCGACTTATTTGAAAAGTGGATAGAGCAGCAGTTAATACCAAACATTTCCCCAAATTCAGTGATTATTATGGACAATGCGCCATACCATTCCCGACAGAAAAACAAAATTCCGAATACAGGCACAAAAACAAGACATTATTGATTTTATGAAGGATAAGGGAATGGAAATACCACAAAAATCAACCAAAGCCATATTATTGGATCTTATTAAAAGACAAAAATTTGAAAAAGAGTATGTTGTTGACAATCTGCTTCAGCAAAATGGCCATGAAGTATCACGTCTACCTCCCTATTACTGCATTTTTAACCCGATTGAGTTGGTCTGGGCTGCTTTTAAAAAAAAAGTAAGAAAACATAATCAGACCCCTCAATTAAGTGAATCGCTATTGGCCACAATAAGAGATGCAGTATCTCATATTGCTGCCACAGACCTATGGAAGCAGTGTTCTAGGCATATTATTGAAAAAGAAAATGAATATTGTGTTTTGCCTCCTGTAAATCCCGTTGTAATTCCTCTACAAGATGACTCTAGCGACAGCTCCGAAGGCGAGGATGATATATAAATACCTATAATGTAAGTCTTTATATACCTTTTTTATATACCTACCTGCTATGTAAATACTTGCCTATGTCAAACGTTGGAATTCTGTAATTTTTCCATTTCTTAACTTTCAGTCAACATAAATTAAACTCCCAATATAAGTATTTTTTATCCCAAATCAAAAAAATAAGAAGATACTATAATCCATTTATTGTGATATAAAAACATTATTATTATCGTTCTAAATAAATGACCGCACGCCTATGATACGTCATGAAATTACAAAGGACGCACCGACCAAAGGTTTTTATGCTATTTCAAGTGACTTCAGATAAAGCATACTATTCTCTTCAGCCCATTGTAAACCTAGCTCAAAGGCGTTAATTGCGTCTTGTGCTGTGACTTGTGGAGCAGTTGCAATCACGTCGTCGTTATTTTCCTGATTGTTTGTTGTATAATTAGAAACCTCTTTTATAATCTCTTCGTCAGACATTTCATGAAAAACATTTTCCTCTTTATCCATTCCACGGCACCAGATTTCCAAATCTTCCGGACTTATCTGTGTTTCAGTAGCAGCGACTTCTTGTATAACTTCCGAAGTAACACTGATTTGTGGAACGTTGCTAGGAGTGGTGACTATATCTGGCCATAACTTTTTCCAAAACGATTTAATAATTGATGACGGTAACGCATTCCACGACTGACAAAGAGCAAAAACCAAGTCTTTCATATTAAATTCGTTTAAAGCTTTTTCTATTGGTTGGTCTTTTGATACGGCTCTCAGAAGTAGGTTTTTCTTGTAGTCTTGCTTGACAAACTGAATGATATTCTGGTCCATTGGTTGAATCAGTGCAGTGCAATTTGGCGGAAGAAACATCGCAGTGATGCATTTATCCTCAGTTGTTAGTTCTTCTTCAGACGGATGACCGGGAGCGTCATCAAGAAGCAACAGCGCTTTTTGAGGAAAATTATGATCTTTTAAACCATTTTCTAACTTCAGGTACGAAGCATTCATCAAACCACTTTTTGAAAGGTCTTTTGTCATCCATGCACTTTTTTGTCCATAATAGTGTACAATGTTTTTGAATGCCCGTGGTTAATTAGATTTCCCAATGATCATCATCTTAAGCGCGTGTGTGCCCGCATGGTAGTACGCTCTTTACTTACTTTTCGTCCAGGTACGGATTTTTCGTTACAAGAAACGAAAGTTTTGTTAGGCATCACACGCCAAAAAAGCCCTGATTCGTCTGCATTATACACCTGTGACGGGTCAAGATTTAAATCGTTCACCTTTTGCAAACATCTTAATTTAAAGGGCTCTATGCAGGTGGCATCGTTAGAAACTTTCTCTCCTGTAATAGTCATTAAACGTATGCCGTGACGACTTTTAAAACGTTCTAGCCATCCTTTGCAGGCCACAAAATCATCTTTTCTTGTTATTTCCTTATAAAAAACTTAGCTTCGGGTCATTATCTTGCTGGAAGATTGATCTTAAGGGCATATTGTCTTCCATATAGGGTAACATGCTTTAGTATGTCTGTGTATACAAACTTATCCATAATGCCATCTATTCTTTGTAAAGGTCCCATCCCAAACCCCGAAAAGCACCCCCAAACCATAACAGACCCGCCTCCATGTTTGACAGTGGGCAAAGTGTACCTACTTGGGGTTCAATCTTTGTCCACTAGGACATATAACGTAATGAGTACCAACTGATCCAAACGTTTTGAACTTGGATTCGTCACTGAAACATACCCTCTTCCAGTCACAGATGCTCCAATCAAGATGCAACCGTGCAAATTACGGTTTTTTCCTCGAGATTAGCGGCTTCTTACTCCGGCGACGCGACGTGCAAATAACTTCAGATCATTTAATCTTCTACTTATAGTTTTCGTAGAAACACTGACAATTCCTTTTGTCTCGATTTCGGCTTTTATTTGTCTTGGGGTTTTAAACGGAGCTTGGACGAAATTACTTTTATTAATCTAACTAATCTAGCATTTAGTTTTCTAGGCCGACCACTTCTCTTAGAGAGAGATACCTTTTTGTTTATATTTGTTCAATATTGCCCAAACTGGTTTACGCTTCAGCTTCAAATTTTTGGCAATGTCGACTTGACGTTGACCATCTTTGTATAACTCAATTATCCTAGTTCTCACATCGAAAGAAATTTCTGGACCACGCGGCATGGTCTTAAAACCACTCAACTTATTCCACAATACTCGATTAACACAAACTAATCCTCTTCTGACACGAAACTGTACTAAACTAATGTTGAAAAGAATTTGTCTTCATATGTTTGTCCCTCATAAAAAAGTGCTATATTCAGACTTGGGTTCATTGCAGATAATGTAAAAACAGGGAATTTAGTTTTTCTACTAATAACGCATTTGTTTATAGAGCAATAAAATATGAATTCGTTTTAAGTAAATATTCATGTTTGTCTATATACTTTTGGCCATTACTGTATAAGGAATAAGGAATTAGGTGACCTTCAAACTTTTAAGGTAAATTAAAAGTATTTAATACTGATAAGTCGTGGATTTCCAAAAATCCTCGGGCATCTCTAATTTGAATGAAAAATGT